GAGCAGCGGAGTGGAAGCAGTTATATAAAATTAGACGTAATTATTGAATTTCGTTCAATTTTGTAAACTAAGTCGAAGCGTGTCTAGCCGACGATTGAGCCGTGCTTTCTCAAGGGCCGGTTGTCGTCGACAAATAAGACGGCGACAACGTGTTTCGTCAGCTTCGCGTGTGGTTTGAATTTTGTAAAACGCGGACGCGTCCCGCGAACGATCACTGGCACATTGAAACAACGATCTCATTGTCAGTAAAAATTAAACCCTATCCCAATTTTTCAATGTTTTATATTAACTATATTCTAATTTCTCTCTCTCTCTCTCTCTCTCTCTCTCTCTCTCTCTCTCTCTCTCTCTCTCTCTCTCTCTCTCTCTCTCTCTCTCTCTCTCTCTCTCTCTCTCTCTCTCTCTCTCTCTCTCTCTCTCTCTCTCTCTCTCTCTCTCTCTCTCAAGTCATTTATATTATCCTTTGATTTCCGCCGTACTCACTGTTCATAAAATTAAATTCGAACAGCGACTTTAGTTCTGTATATTAAACAATTAGTCTGCCATTCCTCTCGTAGGTCTCTTTTTAATTATTCTTTTATTCTAATGTGTTTGTTATTGATAAAATCATTGTATATTTATTGTTAGAAAAACTGGTTTCATTGCATGAGCTGGGCTAATAATGAAACGTAGTACATTTTGTTTCTTCGTGTTTTTTGAAATTTTATATTGTAGAATTCTATGAAAGTTTTTAATAACTTTTTCTTTTTTTTTTTATGAATGGTATAAGATTAAGGACGGTAATGATATAGGAAATTGATGCGATCCTTCGTGTTTCAATCAATTTTATTATTTTTAGGAGATTTCTGTTAAGAATTGATCGCTTTTTAATAATGTTAATATAATTTTATTTCCTTTTATTCCACTTTTTATTGATGTTTGAATTCAGACCAGAGACAGAAAGAAACATTCGACCAGTGATCGCTTGCTGACGCGTCGTTCGGGACGTAATTTGAAGGAATGCGTTGTATTATATATCGAGAAACCCTTTAAGTGTAAGAATAATAATGTATATATAATAATTATTACCATAAAACTTCGATTGATTGCACTCCCAGGGGAAAAAAGGAGTTGTCTCCCCTCGTCTAAGAAGAAGGAGCAAAAAACGAAAAGTAACAAAAATTGAAACGTGTGAAGATGAACGAAGACGAAGCAACAAATCTCAAAATGGTACATTCGTGGATACACAATGGATACAAATGGGGGAAAAACGACATGAAACGG